GTTCCTGTAACAGATATCAGATTCCGGAGTTGATGCCGCGAGAACCAGGGATGGAGTATGCCGTCGCAGATTCAATCTACGATGAGAAAGTGGGCGGGGGAATGGATGGTTTGGGAACGGAGAGTCGGATCCCTGTCGGAGATCCAATCTTCGATGGGAACACCGCTTCCCGACGTTCGGGAGGGATGTCGTCAAAAGGTGACTCACTTTTATTTTATTTTCGTATTTTGTAATTTCGTTTGGCGAGGTGGGGAGGCAAGGCGAGAAGAACCTTGAAATCCTTACAGAAGAAGAACTAGTGAAAACAAATTTGTTGAAATTCAGACTGACAAAAAATTTTTATTTTTCGATTTTTTTTTTCAAAATTTTGGGATCACTCGCATCACACTAATTTAGTATCAGTTATCCACGACCCCATAAGTGCGCCCTAAAGAATTACCCATTTTCAAGAGCGGTATTTACTTGGTTTTTCAAACGACTCACTCGTGAAATTCTTGGTATTCTTGGATTACAAAATTCAATGAATATAGCTGACTAAAAATTAGCCAAAGAGCGAAATAACGAAGTATACTATTGTCAACAGCACAACCCAATCACGAATTTCAGCAATACAACGGCGCCATTTACCTTATTACACCAAACACGATAAAAATAGGTTTAGCGGTGCCAGAAAATCCCCCTCTCTATATTTCCCGTTGAAAAATGAATCTTTCTCTCCCCCTCTCTCTCTCTCTCTTCTTTTCCTCCTGTTGAGAAATGAAATAAATCCTTCCCCTTCCTCCCTCCCTCATCCTCCCCTCCGCGCCAACCTCCTTCTCCAAGTAACAATACAGAAATTAAATTTGGTGCTAATGGGGCAATTATGAAAAAATTATTCAACATACATATGGAAGAATATTCCAACCTATTTCTAAAGTACTATTTACAATCCATTTCAAGAGATTTTGAAAACCAAAAACAAACTCGAAATCGTGATAATCGTTGTTGTCCATGCCGAAACGTTTAGCGAGTGCTATCACGAAATTTCTGTAGTTGGCACTGTGCAAGATGCGCCACTTCGGTAGCTGAGTGGTAAGACGAATCGGTCTTTTGCTTGTATCCAACAGCACATAGCAATATCCACCATATTGGACATCTCTGAGGAAAACTTCACTTTCTTTCGGTAAATTCAAAACTAGGCTGCCCGTTTCATCTTTTACCTTCAGCGGTTTCACCGATACAATTTGCACAAATACACATGTGAAACCATCCGTTCGGCACTGTGCCGATGCGCAATCATTTGACAATCTACTGAGCAATGCCTGAAACAAGAGAGGTAGTGCTTGATTAGAAAGTCTCTCGCAGCGCAAGTATCAGAAGTTTTTTTTACCTTACAACGTGAATGACCCTTAATTTCAGAACTATCGACGGATTTTTTTGTCCTGCTTGGGATGAATTACTTCTTGGCTGGGCCTCCATGGCCTTTTCTTTCCTTTCCATTTATTATTGAGGACCGGTACGAGCCAGGCATACCAAGACTGCACGGACTATTAGCACTGGTATCTCACGGCAGTGGTGTTACCGGTATGCTCCTGCGCCTAAAACGCAACTAAGCCAGGCTTTTCGATCCTCGGCAGCGCATACCTCAACTGTTACATGTGTCACCTCTTTGAGGACTTCCCGAATGGCCAGGGAGTCTTCAAAGAGGTGATCATGTGCAACAGTTGGAGGTATGCAGCCGAAGATTGAAGGGTCGGGCCATGGACCTTCTTCCTCGCAAGTACATAGGCAGATCCGGGCAGTCTCTTGGGGGCGAGGAAGGAGAGGGGGATTTTTTATCCCCCCTTCTTCCTTCGTCTCCACCCCTCCC